TTTCCCTTTAAAAAATGGAATATAATTATCAGCAAAACTAAATAGGTTGTTTCAAGAGTTACATGCTTGATCATGAGTAACATCTTGAATTCAAGTTCTTGTTAATATAAATTCTTTCAAAAAGCTAAACTTATTATGATATAAATATTACCAGCTTCACATAATTGTCCCTGTTGAAAAGATATATGTAATCTCCAAAGCACCGATACGTCAATTCTGGAGAAAAAAGCGTGTCGGACACGTGTCCGACACCGACACGTTCCGACACGCGTCCGACACGTAGTCAACTTTTTTCGACACGTTGACTATCCCGACACGCGATTTTGACCGTGTCGGACACGGTCAAAGGGTACAAATGTAAATATTTTGAAATTTTTATAAAATTAAAATAAAATTAAAATAAAATTAAAATAAAAACAAAATAAAAACAAAACCAAAAAAAACATTTGGTCGAACAATTTGGAGCCCTAGATCATACCACTCAGACCCCATTCCATCGTTCTTCTTCACCTCACCGGCTCGCCGTCCGTCAATGCTCTTTGAGGTGTGTTCTTCATTCTCAACGTACCTTTTTTCTGTAGCAACCCCTCAATTACTTTTTTGTGGGTGAGTCTATCTTCTTTTCTTTATCTCTCTCTCTTATGATTTTCGATTCTAAGGTTTATTTGTTCCGCTCAATATTCTACAGATCTCTTTAGTCTTCATACTGTCCATTCCAACAATACTCGCAAGGTTTATCTCTCTCTCTTATGATTTTTCTGTATCACATGATTCAGATTGACCTGTTCTGATTTATTTACTTTTTATAATATTTGTTAGTTTTATTATATTTTTATACATATGCAATTCAATTCATTTTTTTCCCTTTATTCGGGTTTGAAGACACACCCCTCATGAATTTAACAGGTGCCTATTTCCCCATTTCCTAACATGTTCTTCTTAACATGCGTCATCACCAATCCATGGCAGCAACTTAGCCATATATAATAGATGGGACCCAACAGTTTAACAACCCCTCAAGGTGAACACGGTACAATCTTTTCTTATGAATATATATATATATATATATATATATATATATATATATATATATATATATTCATCGGTGTAGCATAAATTTGTTACTAGTATGCAGTACATAATTGAAGACATCTTCAAAACATAGAAGTCATTTTTTTCATAAATTTAAGAATAACTAACAATCTATTTTTTCATAGATATGTTGGTATTCCAATGCTTGTGCTGATGTCAAAGACCAATTAATTGTATTCTTGAGGTGGGGGCCTAATTGAAGAACGGAAAATAAGAAATTTAGTTGAAGGAAAGAAGGCAAAGAAGGCAATCATATTCTGGTTGAAACAGAGGAGGTAGGGTGTGTATGTTTACTAGGGAATATGGATAATAAAACAAAAACAGAATACTTTGGTTGGCTTTATATGTTTTTTTATTGAACTATTTTTGATTACTAAGTAGGGTGTGTATGTTTACTAAGTAGTTTGTTGTTTTTTTTTGTCACTGAAAGTCGGCTATTAATTATTTTAAAATTTATCACTAACCGCAATGTGTGTGCTCCTATTTTTTTTGTTTAAATAATTGTACATTGGATTCTTTGTAATTGTAGTTGTGGGGCGGCTAAATGCTTTACTCTTTATCATTCTTTACTGAATAGTTTATTGTCAAATTGTGTGCTTTTGTTTCTATTAATTTTTAAGTGTACTTCACTGATTTAGCATCTATATTCTTTAAGAATTAAGACCAAGATATTATATTATACCTGCTAAAATATATGTGAAAACACAGATATACCTTATCATTACTTGGTATTCCATCTACCTTATGTATTATATAAGGACTTAATTATGAATCATATAACTTTTTATTTGTTTAACACATTTATAGGATTACAATATGGATCGTTCAAGTTCTGCCTCCGCCAGTGGCAATGATAGTGCCATTGCTGCTAGTGTCTCTACTGCCAATGAATTACTAGATAAACCCATATGGAAATATGTTACCCAATTGGATGCTAGAGTGGAAGCAGGAGGGAATTTGTCTTGGAAGTGCAACTTTTGTAAAAAAGATTATAAAAGTTCGTATACTAGAGTGAGGGCTCATTTGTTAAAAATATCAGGCAAAGGAATTGGGAAATGCTTAATGGTGCAAAATAGAGACATGATAGAGATGGAGAGATTGGAACATGAAGCTGAACAGAGAAAGCAATCTAATGCACCTAGAAATGTACCGTTACCCCCTTCTACCTCTTCCACTGGCCCAAAAAAAAGAAAAACTACGAGTTCTCTTGAGATGGCATTCAATGTTGGGGAACGAGAAGAATTAAATTATCTTATTGCTAGAATGTTTTATTCAGCAAGATTGCCATTCAATTTGGCAAAGAACCCTTACTTCCAAGCTTCGTATACTTATGCAGCAAATCATAATATTGGAGGTTATTTGCCACCAGGATATAACGCGTTGCGAACCACTCTGTTGCAAAAGGAGAAAGAAAATATTGATAGGTTGTGTGAACCTATTCGAGAAGCATGGACTCATAAGGGAGTAAGTATTGTAAGTGATGGGTGGAGTGATTCACAAAGGAGGCCACTCATTAATTTCATGGCAGTATCTGATGGTAAAGCAATGTTTTTAAAATCAGTTGATTGCTCGGGGGAGATCAAGGATAAAAATTTCATTTTCAGGTTGTTCGTTTGCTCTTATATAATCTGTTTGAGTGTGTTTGTTTGTTTACTCGAGAAAGACTAATGATGAAAATTTTATTTTCAGGTTGTTGAAGGAAGTTATTCAAGAAGTAGGAGAGGCGAATGTGGTTCAAGTAATCACAGATAATGCTGCAAATTGTAAGGGAGCAGGGCAACTGATTGAGCAGGAATTCCCATCTATTACCTGGACACCGTGTGTTGTTCACACATTAAATTTGGCAGTGAAAAATATTTGTGCTGCAAAGAATGTGGAGAACAATCAAATAACGTATGAGGAATGCAGCTGGATTTTTGATATTATAGGTGATGTTGCTGCAATAAAGCATTTCATTATGAATCATTCTATGAGATTGGCCATCTATAATGAGTTTGTGAGTTTGAAGTTGCTTTCTATTGCTGATACTCGTTTTGCTTCAATGATTGTGATGCTGAAGAGGTTCAAGTTAATAAAGAGTGGTCTCCAAAACATGGTGATAAGTGAGAAATGGAATATTTATAGAGATGATAATCTTGGGAGGGCCAGACTTGTGAAGGAAAAATTGTTGGATGATTGTTTTTGGGAATCAGTTGATTACATACTTGCCTTCACTGCTCCTATTTATCATATGATCAGAGCTTGTGACACTGATAGAGCTTGTCTTCACTTGATATATGATATGTGGGATTCAATGATTGTTAAAGTGAAGAAAGCTGTATACCATAAAGAGGGGAAGAGGATGGAAGAAAGCTCATCTTTTTATGATGTGGTGCATCACATTCTTGTGGATCGTTGGACAAAAAATTCAACTCCACTACACTGTTTGGCACATGCTTTGAATCCCAAGTAAGTTTTTAAATATGATTCAGTTTAAAATTAATACTCCTCATCACAGATAATTTGACAATTTTTTGATTTTTTTTTGTTTCTCTTTTAGATACTATAGTCGACAATGGCTTCAGGAAGATTCTAGTCGAGTTCCTCCACACATGGATTTAGAGCTTACTCAAGAGCGACAAAAATGTTTAAGGAGATTCTTTCCTAGCATGGAGGACCGAAGCCGGATTGGTTTGGAGTATGCAGATTTTATTAGCAATAGTGGAACCTTTGGCGATTTTGATGCCATCAATACTCAATACACTATGGATCCGAAATCTTGGTGGCTACTTTATGGTACTTTTACACCGATGCTTCAAAAAATAGCATTGAGACTTGTGCAACAACCTTCCTCTTCATCATGTGTTGAACGCAATTGGAGTACTTATTCTTTTGTGCATTCCATCAAGAGGAATAAAATCACTCCAAAACGTGTTGAAGACTTGGTTTATGTGCATAGCAATCTTCGACTCTTATCAAGAAAGACTCCTAGTTATGCACAAGGAGAAAATCAGATGTGGGATATTGCTGGAGATACATTCGATTCACTTGATGATGTTGGAGATCTTCAATTTGCTAGTCTTTCACTTGATGAGCCAGAGATAGAGGCCATGATTATTCAAGATGGAGATGAAAATAATTAAACTTGTGAGTGGTCTACACTCTACACATTACACTCTTGGGATGTTCTATTATTTTTGTTTCATATTTATGTTATAGAATTTGAATATTTAATTATTTATATGACTTATTATGAGTTGATATATGTATTAAATATAAACTATATTATATATATTAAAAATATTATTTAATATCAAAACGTGTCCCAACGTGTCGAAATTTAGCATTTTTTAGAATTAACATGTCGGAGTGTCGTGTCGTGTCGCGTGTCAGTGTCGGTGCATCATTGTATGTAATTATCCAAAAAAAAAAAAAACAGATATTGATTTAAAATATCTCTGGCAATTAAAATACGTACTCAAAAGAAAATTTTTGTAGATAACTCTCTCTCTCTCTTAATGGATTCACAACGATGATTGGTTTGAGTCCCCAATCCCACTCACACGAATACCAAGTGGCTGCAAATTATATTCGTGTCTCACAACATTATTTAACTATTGAAAAGGAGTAACTAATAATTAAATATAATAATCATAGATTTTATAAGAGTTATGTTGTAGAAAAAATGATTGTGTAATGTTATAGAGATTCGTGTTACGTGCCTTTTTTTTTTGCTTCAAAAAGTGCTTATCCCACAAAATATTGTGTGTGTTAAAATTTTTTTTGTATCATGTGACATAATACATGCAAACCCCAATAATCATTCATGATAATATCTTTCACTGGTGGCAACTGTCTATTGCCGGTAAAAGCCATTTCTTGGGTTGACTTATGTTGTGGTAACGTCTCTCAACAGCTAACCGGCTGCTCCGGTAATACTTGTACCCTCTTCTTTTGTTCCTAGACTTTCTCGCTTGGATTCTTTCTGTGTTTTGTTCTGCTTCGTTCGTTAAAGGTCCTCTCTGTTCCTTCCTTCATCCCTTGCAAGGTAACCCTTTTCTTCTTTGGCTTCAATATTTGTTTTAAACCTTTGAAAAACCAAAGATATTAACTTTTTTGGTTTTTTTTTTTTTTGGTTTGTGTGTGTGTGTGTGTGTGAAGGGAAAGGATGTATGTATTGTTCAAATATCTGAATTGAGAATTATATGATGTCTGTTCATGTTGGTGTTGATTAACATACTTCTTTTTCTATGATTATTACCTCAGTATCTGATGTCTAATTTGTGAAGGGAAAGTCATCTGAAATTGTGACTGTGATTGTATGAATTATGTTGTGGCTACAAACACTTAAAACATGTGAAATTGATATATATATATATATATATATATATATATATATATATATAGGTGGTTGGTAGCTAGATGCATATGTGAAACTTGGGGGGAATAAGTTAACCCTTTGAGGTTCATTTCAGCATATTTTGTTGGGTATCTTGAATCATGGATTGATCTAATCTTGCTGTATAATGCATCTGATATCCCTTTCTTTTAATTGGGATTTTCCTGATTCTTTCGTTTTTATTTTTTTATTTTTTTTCAACCATAGATCATCTCGGTACAGGAACTTAGACGATGACAACTGGAAAGGGCAAGGGACCAGTGAGGAAATCAAAGGAAGTATTGAAGCCAGTTGATGACCGGTTAGTTCCTTTATCATCACACTTAATGTGAACTAATATGGAGCATTTTTAATGTTTCATTTAACTTTGTATATCCTTGTCTGGCGAGCCTTGGAGCAACGGTAAGGTTGCTCCTTGTGACCGGAAGGTCACGAGTTTGAATATGAGAAATCACCTCTTTGCAAAAATGTAAAGGTAAGACTGCATACAATCGACCCTCACCCCTACCCTCGCAAGTCGGGGAGCCTTGTGCACCGGGGTTTGCCCCTATTTTTTGTTTATCCTTGTCCATTTCGGTGTTGATTTTCTGGTGATTTGCTTAGTTATATATAAAAGTTCTATTAATATCTGATTATGCATACTTGATGGTCAAACTGCTGTTACAGGAATAGTATAGTGATGGAACATATATCTCTGTTGTTTACAGAAAGGTAGGGAAGCGAAAGGCTGCTTATAAGCCTGACATCAGTAGTGCAAAGTCAAAGAAGGCCAAGAAAGATCCCAACAAACCAAAAAGACCACCCAGTGCTTTCTTTGTGTTCCTGTTTGTATCTCAATTTTTGTTCCTTTCTGTTATAGTTCCTTTAGAAAATTATCTGACTTATCTCCTACTCTAATAGTGAGGAGTTCAGAAAGACTTTTAAGGAACAAAATCCTAATGTGAAGGCTGTATCAGCTGTAAGTTATATGTTAAATTGCATCATCTCGTATGCTGATGTATCCTTTTTGATTAAGCATCTAAGTTCTTTGTTGTATACTTTGATTGAAGGTTGGGAAGGCTGGAGGAGCAAAATGGAAATCCCTGACTGAGGCTGTAAGTACTGCAATCTTTGGATACATAGTGGTCAAAATCAAGTGTTTTTAATTAGTTTACTCTTCATTATATCTTTAGATGCTTTCAAAAATAAGTTTAAACAGAAATTTGTGAGTAGAAGTGGTTTATCATATGTAAGAAAAGAAAATGCTACTTCTATTGAATTCCACTGAATTAATGTAATCTGTATTGACCTCATTATATTGAAGAAGGGATTTATTCTGTTGCTTATTCTATCTCCTTTATTTCAAATGGAAAGGAGAAAGCTCCATACGAAGCCAAGGCTGCAAAAAGGAAAGTTGAGTATGAAAAACTAATGAATGCTTATAATAGAAAGCAGGTAAGCACCCTGTGGTGGTTTTTCGGTTTTGTGTGTATGCTTTGATTGTCTTGTTTATTTGCCTCACTTTCTGTCATGTTGGCAGGCAAGTTCGGCAGTTGATGGAGATGCGGAATCAGAAGTGAATGATGAAGAGGATGAAGCCAGTGGAGAGGTAGTCTTTTATATTTTTCCTCTTTTTCTTGTACTTTCATTATGTTATTTACCATGTATTCTCTCTCTGTACTTGCATGAATTTTGAGCATCATAGGGAAGGGCTGGAATATATTGATAATTGCTACACATGGAATTGCTTGAGTTACTTTGGTTTCTTTGGGTTTTACATCTAACTCTAAAAGGGAAAATGAGAAGGAAAATTCTCGTGTAAGGGAGTTAATAATATTTGATGATTCGTGTTGTTTCTTGCCTGATGTGTTTTGAATAAGATCTTTTGATTCTTCTTCATTAACACTCCTCTTTATTATGTTATATATCACATAAATTTTCCTAACTAAATATCAAGAGAAGTTTATAAAAAATTTAAAGAGGCATAAAAGCTGTTTGTGCTCTCTTTTTTTTTTTAAAAAAAAAAAACAGAAAAGAATAATCATGGGGTTATTGTGTTGATGATAAAAGTACAAATTCTGCCTTTTTATTTCATTCTTGTTTTTCCCTGCTGTACAGGAAGGCCACCAAGTGGAGGATGAGGAGGACGAGGACGAGGGGGATGAAGAGGATGAGGAAGATGATGAATGAGATTGGTGTGTGGAATTTGTAATATGATTTTTCAGTGGTAGGGAATGCTATTATATATTTTGTCTGTGCATACTAGGCCACTTTTGTATGTTTGTGCTGCTAGAAAATCTGTCTTCTGCTACTGGCATGATAATTTGCCAGCTACTTGAGCTTCCCTCAGTTGTTAGTTATGTATTCAAACTCTCCTTTGTGCATTGTAGCCTTAAATGTGTTGGCTTAAGTCATATAAATTTCTTTTTTATCAATGCATTTGGCATAATTGTTTGTAGAAAAGTCGCCTACCCGTAATGTACACTAGGAACTTTGTATGAATAAACTCACCATCTTGATCTCACTCTAGTTGTCCAGTGAAGTGCTTGGAGCAAATGTGATTAGAAGAGAAGTTGGAATAACTTATATTGATGTTGCTTTAGAGTGATGATTATTTATTTGTTTTTAGCCAAATTGTTGAGAATGCATGAGCTATACGCTTAATGAGATGATGCAAAATTTTAATGAAAGAGTTTTCATTATTCATACATCACCCCCTTTTACTAGATGATCCAAAACTTTCGTCTATGGAAACAAACTACTTTTATGTATAATTAACATGCAATAAAATAATGGAATGATCATTCAAAGGTCTAGTGATTAAAGAAGTGCGTTCTTTGGTTTGACTATTCAAACAAATAAAATATAATAGATTGGTCAGAACTGCTGTTGGGTAAGATTTAAGTCGCAGATTTTACTTTTTCAAATCATCCTTTTATGCTGATAATAATTCTAGTTTTTGGTGTAGAACATAACATTCCTTTATATCCTTAAAGGAAGAAACTTTCTTCTCTGTTGAATCACAATTATTGACATTGAATATTTAAGGAAAAGGCCATTTCCTGGTCAGACCTTCTAACAAAATGAACACAAGTTGATACTATAAAACTAGAAAGTTTCACTTAGATGCTTATAAAGCAGGCATCTGTTGTTTCTAAAAGCTACTTGTACATTAAGAAAAATAAAGATAATTCACATGAAGTTGAAGTTATAAATTTTATATTCTGAATTCAGCATGAGAATTAGACAGAGTAATAATTCACATGCATATGTAAATAATTTATCCAGATATTGAAAATTCACCAATAAAACAAAATAACGAAAATGTTGAAAGGAATATTTTGTAATTCCTTTCAAGGCACAAACAATATGAAGCAGACTAGATAATTGCCACAATAGAAAAAACGACAGTCTTAAGACTATTATTTAGCTATGCACAACTTTTAATATCTAAAACTATTACATATCGTTTTCAAAATAAACTGTTCATTACAAAAGAAAGAAAAACTTCATCCATAATCCAGTCCTATTGGAAGATAGGAAGGTCATTCAGCTGTTGTTGGTTATAACTTAGATTTACTTGTGCTGGAACAATGCTATTTAGCACCTCTTCCCGAATTTCATTTGCCATTTTTAAGAAATAACTATGCCTGCAAAATTAGACCATCAAAATTTCATATTGAAAATCAATGAGCCAAAAGAAAAGAATTTCAATCTACCATCGAGTATCTGCTGTCAATTCAGGATGGAATGCAGTCGCCAGTATGTTCCCTTGTCTCACAGCAACTATAACTTTACTCTGTTCCTCAACTTTCTCCTGTCACAGGCTCACAGCCATAACTATTTAATAATAATAATAATGGTAACCAATGGAAAAGCCTTGACATTATTGTAATGTTGGTCCAATTCGAGAATTCAAATAGTATAGATCTTAGTTAAGTGGTAATTGACAATAGTTCTGAAACCTTGTGGAACAGTGCATTCTAATATTAGACCTATTTATGGAATAGTGCATAATAACATCACCTTCTAAATTAACTTGCAACAAGGATAAAAAGCCCGTTGAGCATATAAATTAAATTAAGGAGTATGGAGGGCAACTTGGCTAATCATGGTTTGTCTTACCATCACTTGAAAGTAAAAGTCTGGTTTAGGTCCTAATCCATTCTCATAAGATTAAGAAACTAAACAATAAAGCAAAATTTTACACGGGAAGGACAGACTATGTAGTTTCTTCATTGGGGAACTACAACCAACGTTTAAGAAGCATATAAATGGAAAATATGGCATGTTTTCATAATTGATTCATCAGTCATCAACACCCTAATGTTCTGGAACAAGTCACTGCTCTTCAACTACAACTAGAGTTACCACATGATCCATATAAACTACGGTTGAAGTCAACTACATAGTTGCTATTAAGTGACATAATATAAAACTTGAGATGACTTATTAGGAGAATCAAGATAACTAAGAACATTACACCCATTACAACCTTTGATTTACATCCATAACACTGTAAGATGAAAGCTTTCTTAGACTAATCTGTAAATTACTAACCTTTTGGTCTTCGATAGAGGAATCTGAGCTCAACAATTTGTTAGAAGGGACAGGATAATCAGCCAGCACTTGAACTTCCGGCCCTACTTCAACAATTGCTGGAGCACGAATAAAAACTGCACGAAAAGTTTCAGGACCGCCTTCCGTGGATGCAAGCTCTGATGCTAAAACCTCTGCTTCAAAACTTTGAATCTGAAAGTGCATACCAAAATTATGAAAGTACACCAAAACTTTGTAAACATGATCGGCACTTCATTTTTCTCTTTTGCTCTAATTTTTTGGACAAATAGCCCAGTGCTCTCATACTATATTGATATCCATACTAAGCTGTAGTGGAATGAGAGCTAGATCTGTATCCCTCAAGGAATGTAATATATCAATATAAGGGTGCTCAAGGAGGCACTAGTATAGACCAAAGCTCTGACGGAGTCAACAAAAGTGTAGTCGCAGAGGAGGCTGCGAATGGAGTGTGTGTAAAGGCTATGGTGCCTCTAAAATCCGATAGAGTAAGAGCTCATAAAAGTGTGTGATATTATGCACCTCTTCAATGGAAGAAGAAGGGTTTATATAGGTAGGAGAATATTCTCTAATGATGAAAGAGAGAAACAAGCCAGAAAATCATTAACCAAGACCTTACTATTGCAGTGAGGCACTGTCTCACCACCGTGCGTGTACGATGGTGAGCTGCGTAGGGGAGAAGGGAATCCCCTAAGGTGAGGTCTATGAGATCACCCGTGGGGTGTTAATGGGCCTCAAATGGCCGGCCCATAATAGTGGGCCTGTGTAACACATATAAAGATTCCATGGATCTTATATGCTACAATGGAAAGAATACTGCCTGTTTTACATCAAGAAAAGTTGAACAAATTATTTTACAGTTAATGATCTCAATTTTATTTATGGTTGTTCATTGCCAATAGCTAAACATCCATAATGCATATATAACCTGACTGCCAAAGAAATTTCTATGGACAGTACAATCAAGTCCACCAATCAGTTGCTGTCCGCCAGTCTTCTGTCCTGAAATTTAGTCATTTAAGTGAAAACAAAATTAAGAGTAAAATACAATATAATGCTCAAAATTCAACAACAGGGCAGAAAGAAAAAAGAGAGAAAGAACCCACCTATAGCTTTATCTGCCAAGAATATAAGCCCGGCACAGGTTCCCCAAACAGGCTTTCCCATTTTCACAAACTCTCGCAGGGAAGGAAACTGGCATATTGAAACATTCCAGTTCAACATAAATTATAACATAGGGTCCTCATTCCTCCATGAAATGCCAGAAAGCACAAATTGGAACAAAATCATGAAATATGAGCATGAAATTCCACAAGCAGGATAAAGCCTTACCAAATTCATAACAGCAACTAACATACTTCAAAGCCAACACCAGACACATAAAAATTACAAAAATTATTTGCATCTTTTACACTCTCTTTCTCTCCTTGTTCACATGAACTACAAAGGGCATAAAAAAAGGTTCCTTTTTATTTTATTTTCACACAAGTTATTAAAAAAAAAAAAAAAAACTTCATTGAGCAAAATCAAATAAACTGTTTAATATCACGAATCCAACAAAACCCACATTATAAATGAACCTAAAAAGAACAAAGTTCGTTAATTTATGTCAATATGTTGTATATGGCAAGTGGGGTAGCAAGCAAATAGCACAAAGAGCATTAAACAAAACATAAAAACTGACAACCTAGAAAAGCAAGACATAACATAAGTAAAATAGATGCCCAAAAAAAAAAAAAACAAGGGTAAAGTAGAACAACCAGGTTGTGGTACTCAGCAATTTTAGCCATGGTGGTGCTCTCTCCACCAGGTATGATAAGGGAAGTAATATTGTGAAGCTGCTCAGGCTTCCTAATCTGCACCCCTTCAACCCCTAACCTCCTAAGAGCTGCCACACACAACACAATTAAGAAGATGAGAAAATTTGCAGCTATTACATTTACACACACAGAAAAGAAAAAAGAAGAAGAAGAAAAAAAAAGTGTTTTTGATTGACAATAGAGATGAAGGAGTGAAGACTGATGAGGAACCAGAAGGAAAAAAATAACAATTTAAACTTGCCCGCTATGTGTTCATTGAAAGATCCCTGTAAAGCCAGGACCCCAATTATTGTCATGTTGTTGAGTTTGAAATAACACAGATTAGAGAATGCACTTTATGCTTTATGAGTGGCCAAGAAGAGAGACCTAGGCCTGTCACACTATTTGATTTTATATTTTATATTATATTTCTAACAAATTTGGAAATAAGTTCTCTGGTCTCTTTTCTAACATAGTTATTTCAGACAGGATCTTTTGATACTAGTGTCAAATTTTAAATTTGATATTTCATCTGAGAGTCATTAGATCAAAAAAGATCAACGACTCTGATTTGTAAGCATGTGACACCATTGATCTTTTTTGATCTAACGGCTCTCAGATGAGGTGTCAAAGGATCTGCCTCTAGTTATTTTATGTGAAAAATTTGAGTCTGTCACAAATTTTTGGACAAAGCTTGCAGAACAGATGAAAGAACATACTGAATATTACTTGTTGGGACATATTACATATTGATTAGGCTTGTATAGGATAAGTGATACCGAAGGGGGTTATGTTGAGATTATAACAATCTTTTAGTATTGTGACCAAATACACGATGGTATTTATATGCTTTCTCCTATGAATGTTATTAGGTTGTACTCGCCTACGAAGCATCGACACTTCAAAAATTCTAACGTGTCATGTCCGACACTTCCCGACACTCTCGGACACCGACACTCCCCGACAAGCGTAATAAAAATTTAAAAAAAAGTTCAAATATTACGTTGGGTTGAATTTTTAGTTCCAACTATTAGATTCGTTGGATTACAATTAACATTTTATTAAGTTTAATATAAATATTTGGAATATCTTATGTTTCTTTCCAAAATTTAGGAATATTATAAGTTTAGATTCATTTTTTTGTTAAATTATTAAATATTAAATATAATATATACTACATAAATTAAAAGTATTATTTAATATCAAAACGTGTCCTAACGTATCGAAATCTAACATTTTTTAAATTTAACGTGTCGGAATGTCGTGTCATATCGTGTCACGTGTTCCGTGTCAGTATCAGTGCTACATAGGTACTCGCAAAGTGATGGGAGAATCAAGAGGTATATACTATAATTTATGGATGGATTTAAAGTTTATCAGATAAAATTATCTTCTATAATACATAAAAATACTTGAGGCTTAATTTTTTTTTTCTCTTCTCTTCACATGATTTTATATGAACTTCACATTTTAAAAATAATATTTTTCCTATTTAGAAAAAAGAAAGTACCCAATTTGATACTCCTATTATATTAAAATAAAATAAAAAATCCAATGTAAAAGATAATTTTATTTGCTAAGAAACTTTAAACCATTTATAAACATCCTTAATATCTCCTATCTTATTGCATTCAAAAGGGTTTAGATATTAAGAGTGTCCATTCAGGCCGGACCACTATACTTTTTGGGCTAGTAAATAGTTAGTTGTATTGCTGTTACAGTAAACAAATCAAAACCAAAAATGCAAAGCTGAAACATACGTTACTGCTATGAATAAGGAAGACTAGTGAACTCTCTAATTCAATTCCAATGAAAAGTGTAAATAGTACTGGAATGTGATCACAAGGTAATATGTATTTACAATTTAAGAAATTCGTGGAAAAACTGAGAATCATATACAAATTTGGAATTTAAAGCTTGAATGAGCCTTCTACTAATGGGCAATCACCAGTGGTGAGGATATGACATGAATATAGGGTCTGGCAATGAGAGGCAACTTTTCTATGTACATAAATAGTCTTTTCAAATTCTCCTTGTTGATTGAAGCCAAGTCATCTATCTCATTGCTGCTCATGTAGATCCAAAGGTCACCAGAGTCTACTCTTTTGAGACTGTCCCGGCAGAAAGGGCAACTTTGAGATCTTGCATGCCTAAACCAACGGAAAAAAACAATCCTAAGAAGTGAAGAAGCCATCAATCTATGCCATAGTATTAGCAGTAATAGGATTTATGTGAGTCCAGCCAGAAAAAAATATAGTAAAAAATTTGTTGGTTGATACTATCAACTATTTTCTTTGAAGCCAACTAAAAAGAATGTAGTTTCATTCAGTTTGGCCTTTGCCAAAAAAATAATCACATTTCACAAATATCTTTTGAAGAAATCAGTGGATATTTCTGGTCATAATGTTTCATGAGGATGAACGTAAGTATCTTACAAGGGCATAGATAGGAAATTCGTTGGGTAATTTGACTACAGAATGCTATATGATTTGGAAGACATACGAGAAGCTCTGATACCAATTAATACAAATTTTGGGAGAACCTCATCCCAAAAGCTAACTTGTAAGACAGGAGAACTCAAAGTTCATATAAACTCCACACCAGAACCTTATGTTGCCGATAGTGAACTCCAAGTCCCATTCCTTACAAATGGATCGTAATAGAAGACCAATGGTGGATTCTTTCTTGAGTATGTTCAAGGCCTTGATAAATGTAATTGGTTAGCTTCTATTCTTCAAGAGCAGAAGTTAAGAGTTCTTAAGCATCAATCATAACTATTAAATTGTGATTTTAGATGAGTATGTTTCATTCAATTGTTTTAGCCTTATTGCCATCTTATTATTAGAGGTATTCTATACTAAAATGTTGTTTCAATTTTCTTACCAGTCTCGGTAGCATGTCATACACAGTGAATGATTGCAGTTGGGCAATACAACCTTGCTGTTCATCTCCATGCAAATGCCACACTCTTCTTCTCTCTCCATGTCAATTTCAGAGAGTTTTCCTTTGCTTATCAAATCTTTAGGCTTGTACCTAGTAGCACATAGATGTTTCTGTTTCCTGTCTTCAACATCAGTGATTCCTCTGTGAAGTTGCAGTAAAGAGGGAAAGACCACACCTGTTATTATAGAGTGCAAAAGAAATCACATTTGGATTGTGAATCACTTTTCTAAAAGAAAGTAAAGATAAGAAAGCTTATCATATGAATATATGGCATGGTTTCAAGCAGCAACTGACAGTTATATTTCAATATGACTGTTCACTTACCATAGAACTCCTTCAGACTGGCTTTTCTTTCATAAATGAACATGGTTGTCTTGCCATCCTTATATGCCTGTGACAAACTCAATATGTATCATTCATTAACTTGACAAGAAAAAAAGTAACATTGGTTGCAATTCTTCGCTATAATTAATTGCGTGATAGAAGTGTTGACAGGCACAATAAAGAGGCAGGAAATACACCTTATATATCAGAATTCTAAGCAATCCCAAAGCTCCAGCAAGGTGACAGTCAGTCCACTGAACCAGAAAAAGGAAGAACTGAGCAGCTGGGCTGTAGGACAGTCTCATTTGGAGGCACGCACCATCGCGATCACTTGGATAATCAGAAGCTCTGATTCAAAACATATTTGACTTCAAAGCATTGGATAAAAACGTAACATAATGACAATTTTCTATTTTTTGGTTGAGAAAATTTTAATCTTGAAACATTGAAGATAATGGGCACTCAAATTTCAGAGATAAGCATTTAAAGTGGACGGTAAAAGCTTCTTTATCTCACGTTGTTGTGCCACAAACACAAGTCTATAGTAGTGTTCAAACAAAAAAAAATGAAGGTTAGAAATTACAACATTAAACTACAAATAGAATGGGAAGTTGGGAGTGAAAAAGGTAATTAATAGTCCACTTTAACATAAGTAAAATTTTAAAACATATCTCACATTGTCTGCTTCAGATATCATTTTAAACATTCCCATTCAAAAAATATAAATTTTATTTGCTAAATATAAAGTGAAATGTCCAAAGGGTCTTTCAGTTTTGCACAAAAGCTGCTATATGACTATACTAAAATACAAATTTGAAAAAGATACAACTTGATTGGGGTCCTCTTTACAAAAAGAGGAGGTGAAATTGACATAAGTTGGCAAAGAAATAAAATGCCCAATCTCCTTCAAGATGACACAATCAAAACCTATTCAATCAAAAACAGTTCAATGAAAAAGCATATAAAGCCAACAAAGTATTCTGTTTTTTGTTTTATAATCCATATTCCCTAGTAAACATACACACCCTAGCTCCTCTGCTTCAACCAGAATATGATTGCTTTTACTTATGCTTCACTCATTCACCCTTTCCTTCAACTAAATTTCCTATTTTGCCTTCTTCAATTAGGACCCCACCTCAAGAATACAATTCATTGGTCTTTGACATCAGCTTAAGCATTGGAATACCAACAAATTTGGTACACAAAATATCCAAAATAAGAATAAAACAACAGAGTTTAGAACTATATAGCTCTATACAAGGTTCCAGCCATTATAACCCAAAAATCATATCTTCACCCCCTCCCAAGAAAAGAAAAGGGGACTAGAAATTTGGCATCTTCCTAAAAAATCCAGGTATGTGCGAAATGGGTAGCATCCAAAATCACACGATTCAACATTCACAACACAAAGTTTTTTTTTTTTTTTTTTTTTTGGTGTTCAGATTGGAAAGAGAAAGAAAAAAATTACAGTGTATTGGCAAACTGGATGTCAGCTTCAAGAGCTTTCAGGGAATCTTTGAAAGACTTGCGCATCTCTCCTTCTTCTTTGTTCTTCCTTCTCTTCAGACCAAACCCCTTTCAAAAACTCTCACAACAAAACTTAGTAACAATCAAACACATAATTCCCATGACCAAATTCTCCTTCCTAATCCTAGTCCCATAGGAAACCCAGCATAAAGTACCTTGCTTTACCTGCGAATAACAACAACAAAACCTCCTCGTACCAAACCAAAGCAAAATATTAAGAATTTCAGATGCATATAGAGAGAGAGAGAGAGAGAGAGAGAGAGAGAGTGGAGAGAGCAAAAAGTGTTGGGCAGTTTGCTGGGTTCTCGCTTGGATTACACGTAACTCATTTGTGTTGTACATACATAAATTTGACATGTATCTTACGTAATGGTCATGAGTTTGATCTTAAATTACCAAAATGCCATTACCTTTTTTCCTCGAGATTCATGCAAGATTCATTTCGCTCGCTTCCCCGTGGCGCAAGTGTTTCCACGACAAAATTCTTAGTTTCTTTTGGGCTCTTGCAACGTGTATCACTTCATAATTCATTAGTCATCATAATCTTAGAAATGTTTAATTTATAATATAGGATAAGATATAATAGTATAAGATGCGAGAATATAAGATTTGATTGTATAAGAGTTAATTAAATTTTAGTATTATCTAGTATTTTATATGATATTGCATAAAATATTATATTGTATGAGACAATATCATCTAATTTTTAGTAATGTACTGTATAATATTAAATAGGATAAAAATAAATATTTTTAACAAAAATACCGTTTAATATACAATTTATATAATTTTTTCAAATATGTTATTTTGATGTATTAAGGATTTTTGCTGTCACATTAAATAACTAAAAATATCATAACATATAATATAAATCTATACTGTCAGACTTTATACATCATATAGATATAGATAGGTACTTACAATGTGTATCATTTTATTCAGGAGGCATATTTATGTTTTTTTTTTTTTTTGAAAAATGTAAGTGTCATGCTATAGATATAAAAAGGTATGGATTCCATTGAAAATAAATAAAGAAAAAGATAAATTTGTGAATTTTATCTTTTTGTAGCTATGGCATAACACAAGATGTGTCATATTTTTTTCTTTATTACGATAAATTTCATGACCAATTTTAGAATTACTTGATTAACGAGTTATTTCATTTCTTTATATTTATAATAATATATATTTTTTGTAACATATAATAATAAATTTTATTATTATTAAATATGTGTTATTTTTTATATAATAATATTTTTTAACAAGTAATATTATTTTTTTCTTCTAAACCGGTTATCTCACATATATTAGGTGGATCTTTTAATATAAAAATGAATTATCTCATGTTAAAAAAATATGATATAGTCATGTGAGAAGTTACAATAATACAAAATGAATCAACAATTATAATTTTATAATTATCTATTTTAATATTTTTTTTCTCTTTTATTGTCATTGATCTACATTTATATGATTATGATCATCGTATGACATGTGATTTTTTTTTAATCCACTCTCTTTTTATATTATTTTCTATATTTTAATACATGTGTTCGAAATATCTAATTACAGGGAGTTTTCCCTTTCAACCAATTATTCCTGATAATAAATAATATTATAAGATATTTATTAATTATTTTCTCTCTAATTTACATATTTAATATTGGTTTTAACATATTTTTAATATTATAATTAAAATGATAGATATTCAGTCATGCACAATTGCACATACAACAAGAATTTCTCTTCCTCCCCAACTTCGTAATTATTCCATCTATTTTAATCTTGGTTCCCATTTCATGGCAATTTAGTTACGTCACGTATACAAGGACTCCACTAAATTATTGACACGAGAAATTTTAGAACTTCATAATGGATAATTTAATGAACGTTTTAATTTATTTTTCATTGGAAAATAATCTTTTTAATCAATCAAACTATGAAGTGTGTAGTTTTTAAGTTATTAAATGTTTTATTTTTTCTTTATTTTCTATTTAAAAAAATGTTAAGTTAACTTTTTTAACAAATTAGTATTAACGTGTGTTTAAATCCACTGATTTTACATTCAAAAAAAATTTCATCTTAAAATATTTGAGAATAAGAAGAATTCTTAAAAATAATTAAAACTAAACGTGCTATCAATTACTGTGTCCGAAAAATGAAAATTCATGAGATTTAGAAATAATCAATCCTATTAATCTATCCGTCTAAAAGTTACAGCTAATAATTACGAAATATTAAACAACTTTTAAGATGCTAAGATTAGTAATCAATGATTACTATTCAATCAAACAAGCTCTAAGAAATGCTCTAAACTACTAAAAAAGATTGGAAGGGGGTCCCTTTCAGCCAGAATTTATGACTAGAATGTATTCAAATTAAGTTGGTAAAGAAATCATGATTTTATGAGGCTGTAGCTTTATTATATGTCTAACCAAAAAACTTGTTGGCCACAGTTGCGTTACGAAACTCACAAATTCATTCATTGTTGTTAAGATTTGTTCTAGCACGATTTACTTTCATATGTTGAAAGAATGACAGCTAACCAAGAAATTGGACAATGATTTGTTGGTTAATTTAATTATTTATAGCAGTTGGAGACGATGCAATATCTTATTTTTTTATCATCTTTCTTCAATACAATTTTAGTTAATTAATCTTCATGCCATGTCAGAATCTAATCCTAGTGCAACTTTTGTTTTGTCCGGAACAATTTTGGATTCCCTGTCAAACGAAGAGGTAATTTTTGGACTATACTTGCAAGCAACGTGGTGGATCAGTTATTCAAGAAACTACCATTTCTTTATCTCATGGATATTAAAATGGTTGTTGATTGATCATAAAACATTTCAAAATTTGATTCTTGATTAATACAATTGGCGACAAAGTTTTTCCTTATCATGTTTTAATGTTTTAATACAATTGGATGCTCAAGAACTCGAATTTGAAATTCCTGGTTAAATTGAAATAATCCCTTACCCGCTAATCCTCGATGGTAACTAGTATATTCTTTCTATATACCATTTATATTGGTCTTTAGCATGAACCATTAGCAATTTCTTCTGGATAGCCACTCATTGACCACAGTGACAGTTCTAAGCTACTTGTTGCTAGTCTAAAGTAACCATTTTAATAACCACGTTAGTGGACGTGATGGTTTAACATCTTGTCTCTTTAAACAAGTGGTTGGGGGGTTCGAACCCCAACTCTTGTGAATGAAAAGTATTCCGTGGCCAGCTCTTTACCGCTTTGTGCGCTGACCCGGAGCGAGGGATTAGTCTCATGGCTATCGCCATTAGGGATACCCGGATATAATCCAAAAAAGTGACCATTTTAATTAAGAGACAATAACATGCCAACCCCTCATTAACTAGGATTGGGGAAAAAACTTATCATAAGGTGGTAATATTTGACATATTTATTTTCCTAGATATGTGCACACGTATCATAAGGTGGTAATATTTGGCATATTTATTTTCCTAGATATGTGCACTTCTTTTATACAAGTATACATGACAATATGAATTCAAATCATACCTACTTGAAACTTTAACTAGGCTTTTATTTTATTTTATTTTATTTAACTTAAAAGTCTATACCCTACATACTACATGTGCTAATATCGTTTCCCTTCTTTCTCTTCTGCTACTTTTTTTATTGGTGTGCTTTTATACCCTATGCTCCCCCATAACTTTGTTGCTTGCTTCTATAGAATAAAAGTTAATAAACAATTGAAGATTCCATAATCTATTTAATTGAAATTTTTGCAAGATCATAGTGGAGTAGCAACAACCCAAGAACCTCCCTTCACCTCTATGCATTGTCTAATTGGGGGAGTTATTTTGTCCATGTAATTACTCTAAAGCCAGTGGTATTATTTGAATTTTTGCTAAAATATTATTACATGACATGATAGCAATGTTATTAAAATCGGCCCGGTCATTGACCCGATAGAAGTATTGGGTCACTGGGTCACTGGTTCAACTGCATGACCTGGTAATTATATATAATTTTATAATTTATATTAAAAAATTATAAATATACTCAAATATCTAAAAAAATAATTAAAATTTCAAATATTTTAATATAAAAAATAATAAATCACATATTATTATCCAATAAAGGATCAAACAAAAATATAATGATCGTGATACGAGGTTTTAGGTTCAAAAAATGACATTCATAACTATAAATCAAATCAAATTTTTATAAATGAGATAATATTAGTATTGTAAATACATAACTTATGTAAGTTAATAAGTAAAAAAATATTCAAATATGTTTATTATGATTTTTTTTTTGAAAAAAAAAATTTGGAATTTATTTTTGTGACCGGACTGGGTCACCGGTTAACCGCTCGGGTCACCAGTTTTCATGAAAACCGGTCGGGTCGGACCGGGTCATACCGGTTCTGATGCATGACCGATTTGTTGCTTCAACCGAACCGATTATATGACTGGTTTACCGGTTCTCGGATCGACCCAGCCGAGTCGGTCCGGGTTTAATAACAGTTCATGATAGCCTATTGCTTGCAAAATGGAAACCTAATTGAATATTTATTACATTACACTATAATTAAAGCTTAAGAGTGGATGCATCTGTCTTCCTATATTCAACAAGTATGAACTTTTTCCCAAAAAAATTGCAAAACATGAAATATTTCAAACAAAATTGAGAACAGATTCTTTACAACAGGAGCCTCCCAAAGAATGCAGTGCCATAGCCACTATACGGTGTTCAATGAGTAAAGACTATAAGTCCAATGGCCACCATAAATACTGTCTCCATTTGTTGAATATCTACAAGGGAAACTAGATATCTTGCTCTGAATGCTTGAAACTCTGCCAACAGAATGTAGAATTTGACTGGTCACATTTTAGGCCTCAATTCTCAAGGACCTCATGGTCTTCTTAGCTTCACCATTTTAGAAGTTAGAGAGGATTATTATCATCAATTAAGATTTCTTTGGGAAACTTCAAATATAATTGCTGGGTATCCCACTCAGCACCTTTCAACTTCTGAATGAAATCCTCAAACCTATCTTCCAATTCCATTAGGCTATTAGCAAGTTGATCACAAACATTACCATTGTTATCCCAATTCTTACTTAGCCATAAAGTCTGCCACACACTTCACAATACCGAGACACTTGTAGCTCCAACCTGCATTATGATTATAAATGAGAAGGTACCATAAACCTACTAAACTCAAAGCTGAGATACTCCTAAACTCCCTAATAATCCTCTCCCCTTTGGAGAATTGGAGATGCAGCAGCTCGAGGA